AAACGTAGCCGTCGCGGTCGCCTGGGGGGCGGCGGCGGCGGCGGCGGCGGCGGCGGCGGCAGATGTTGCGGCAGCGTTGGCGGCCACCGCAGCAGCCGCAGCCGCAGCGGCAGCAGCGACACCGTTCTCGGCGGCCGACTCTCCACCTTCGCGGGCAGACGCCGGGGAGGCGTTGGGAACTCCGTCCGACCCCCGATGGGCGGCGTAGATGGACCGGGCCAGCACGTCCGCCAGGCCGGGGAGCACTTGCGTCAGAAACGCTCTCGCGGGAGTTCCCGGGCCTCCGAAGCCGGCAGGAGCGGCGGGGGGCGAAGAAGACCCGACCGGCTGCTCGGTATCGTTGTTGTTGTTGTTGTTGTTGTTGTTGTTGTTGTTGTTGTTGTTGTTGTTGTTGTCGTCGTTGTTGTCGTTGCCGTTGGTGTTGCCGTCCGTGGAGGCAGACGAATCCCCCGTGATCTCGGCAATCGACGCCGCCACCGCCGCAGCCATCATGGCCTCTTCATCATCGCCGTGGGCCTCGACAGCAGCTGCCGTGTCCACCGGAGGAGCCGGGGCGGGGACGGGGGCGGCCAGCGAGCGCGCAGCCGGCGGCGCATCCTCTGACCCCACAGAAGCCGAGCTCGAAGAAGAAGCCGAGCTCGAAGAAGAAGCCGAGCTCGAAGACGACGACAAGCTTGCGGCCGACGCGCTAGACGAGCCAGACATGTTGCTGACGAAGGACATCACGCTGGCGATTTCCGACATCGGCGTGGGGTCGTTGCTGGCGCTCGCGGCCGGCTCTTCGCTGCTGGCGGCGGCGGTGGCGTCTGCGACGGGAGCGGGAGCGGGGCTGGGGGAAGGCTTGAGGGCGGTCACCTCCACGCGGAGGCAGCCCTCCCACGACTTGTAGCTCATGGCCGACACGAACTCTTCCTCGGAGTCGAAGCGGACCATATCGTCATCCTGGGAAAGGCGGGCAGGAGGGGAGATTGGTCGGGGGCGGCAGCAGCAGCAGCAGCAGCAGCAGCAAGAGAATCGACCACACAGTCAGACAAACGAGGCAAAAATGATGTAAATCGAGGAAATAAAACGAATATTTCGATTTTTTATAACCAATCCCAACTATTTTTCAAGCAACGGAGGTCAATCGCCGATTCAGGCATCAATGCATGCACGGGGACGCACAGGATAAAAATCAGGCAACGACAGGAAATAAGACATCGAAAGAATGGAGGTACATGGGTGTAGGCCTATATCTGTGGAAGACACAAATTTGTTGTGTATTGGTCGAAAGAAGAGAAAACGTACTTGGAAAATAAGTATTTCGTATGCATACGTACGACTGCGCCACGTGAGTCATTCGGGTTCCCCCGAGGCAACCGTCAAACAAGCTACAACACCAACCACCGCTGTCTGCTGTCACATAAGCCCAAACCGCTGACAGCAGCTTGCCTAGGCGACGAGTTACACTACAGCTGTCTCCATTTTTTTCTTGCGGAGAGACCACCATGCATTGAAGGAGGGCGAGTCCACACGTGTCATGTGTTGTCCATGTGGGACCCAGAAAAACTAAAGGCAGGTAAGTACCAGACAGCGAAATTGGAGAGCGAGCCTTACAAGCACCGACACAAACAATCCCTTTCGATTCGACTCAAAGACCGCATAGCAGGAAGCACAATTGACAGTCACCACGGGTTGCTAGGCAAGGGAAAGGCGGTAGGGCGTTGCGATTGGTCTGCGGAGCGGGAGTCGCAAACACGTGAAAAAAACTCTGCGTAAAAGATTTCGAAAGAACGGGCCCTACTGCTTGCTGTCTTCCTGCTGGCTCAGGGTGGAATTCAAGCAAAATATGTATCGCGAATAGCAGTCGAGTTCAACCCAAATGTTTTTCGAACACAGGCGTGAGCACGATCGTCTTCGCACCATGCTACCGTAAAACAAGCTCCTCCTGTACGTGTGCTTGCAGCACTACCATGCCTTATGTATGTATGGAAGCGTGTCGCAAGCACCTCCCAAAAAGTGAAAACTGGCTCTACGGCGGGACACGGGGTGTTTTCGTTTTCGGTATTCGCGTTCTTCAGACGTCTCGTTCTCTCGAATACCGGCAATGCTCGTGATCCTCACGAGGGCAAACCATACACGGTTGACTGCCGTACGACTCGTGCACGGGAACCACGTGTATCCAAGGTAAAGCGCACACCTAGGTGCCATACAGGGGGGGTCGATTGCGAGTGTATGCTCCAAACACACCACTTCAAGTAAGGGCAAGGTCCCCTTGGTACACATATCTACAACAGCATTGCGTGCCCCAAGAAATAATTAAATTTCGCGAACAGCTTACCTCGTCCTTCACGGTGAAGACGGCAAGCTCGGAGAACTTCCCCAAGGGCAGGTCGGGGTAGAGTCCGCCAAGCGAACGCAGCAGGAACTTGCACAGGGAGAGGTGGTAGCCCTGCCTCTGCTCGTCGAAGAGACCTCCGTAAGACGCCTGCTGGAAGCTATCGTCGTAGCCGAACGCCAGCCGACGTAGCTCTGGAGAAACAAAGACAGAAGATTGTACCAAATGAGAGATTGCCCTTTTAGGGTCACGAGTCACGAGGTTTGGTGGAGACGGCGGGGTTGGGAGAGGTAACCGCTACCCTGCTGCCGCTAAGCCCGCTCGTCAAAGCTCTCCCCTTCTCCGCTGCTCTCTCTGATACGCGCATAGTTCGAATTTCAAGCTCGGACAAGTTCAAGTTGGACACTTAGGGGTTGCGTGCGTGCTCACAGGGGAGAACGACCAGCGACAACATGCACCCGTGCGCCCAATATAGGGCTGGCCTCGAGGAGGATTTCCCGCTTACCGGAAGTCCCATCGTCCTTGGTGATCTTGACCTTGACGGGAGCGGTCGTGAGCACCATCTTTTCGAACTGCTGCGGAAAAAAGTTGGTGTTGTTCCTGGGTGTTGAAAACTTTTTATCCCTTTGGGCACCTCGACGTGTTCAAAGGTAAATCGGCTGTAAGCGTAGTCCCAAGCGACCTCGAAGCGTTTGAGCCGGCGACGGTAGGCTTATTCCTTTCTTCTCGAACACCTCGACGTGTTGAGAAGGGAAGGGTAGTGATTGCGGCGGGGTGGGCACGAGACAGAGGGTTGACTGCTCTGACGGGGGCACCGCAGAATCAGAGGGGTCCCAACAACAAAAAAAACGTTCCTGGGAACGGTCTGCTGTCTGTGCTCTGTTTTCTCGTTCTCTCGACCCCGATACCCCGATTCCTCGGAGCTGTGTGATGTACTGCTGTATACGACACAAGATAACACACCGCCTGCACCGATTTTCAAAGCTGGATTTTCCATCAGCAGAAAGAGTCACATCCCCGAAGGTGGCGACGTTGAAACTGTCTAGTCGAGAGCTTTCCGAAAACGTTTCGTTTCGTCTTGTATGCATGGTCTTGCGTAATCTAGCTTTGAAAATCGGTCTGGGGATGGATGTGTTACCTTGTGTCATAGTCTAGACGGAATGTTGTGCGCATGCATAGCGTTTGTTGTATTTACGTGTGTCGGCTTCGCTCAATGTGCGATTGGTGCGTGTGTGTCTATCTATGTCCCTGTGTCCCTGTGTCCCTCGGTCCCTGGTCTGTCGGTCTGTCTGTCCCTCCGTCTCGCGCAAGAATCAACCGAACGAAGAAGATCCGTCCCGTGCCCCTTCAGCTGCTGCTGCTGTGTGTGTTGTTGAGCATGGAAATGTTGTTGTTTTTGTCTCCAACCGTTCCGGTCTCTGCTCATCTCGTACGCGGTCCAACTGACGGGGACGCCTTCCGAGGTCACAGTCCAACTACTGCTGTACCAAAAAAGGGCACACACTACTCCTAGAAATGATCAAGTGAGGAAACCAGTAGGGTGCGCAACTTGTTCGATAGGTGATGACTGCTACATAATACATACAGGTAGACTAAAAGGTAGACTAACTGCCGCTGTTGGCTAACCTTTTCTACTGGTATAAAATGAAACCATGGGACAGGCTGCCCACGAGTATTTTCAGAGGAGAACTCATGCATGTACTGCCTGCCGACACAAACGAGCCTTGAACCATCAGAACACAGCAGCAACGAGCTGCAACATGCAAGGTAGGGTACAGCAGCAGTGGGAGGGAAATACCGACCGACTCAATTTTTGCCTGCAAAGAGCCAGCAGCGGAGAACAAAGAATCTCCGTACATTCACCTTTGTTCTGTTTTTCCATCGCATGTTTCCTCGAGGGCACAACCTGCCCCCCAACAGAAAGAACAAAAAAGTAAAAAAAAAGTCATCGCCCACTACTACTCTCGATCCCTCTTCTGTTGGCGCGTCCCCTTTTTCCACCGAGAGGGCTTCACAATCAATCCTGCTTTGCTGGTACATACGTGTTCGTCACACACTACTGCGCCTACCCTGTCCGCGGTGTGGATGAGCGCGGAAGGGGTTGTCTCGTGACCAAGAGGCAGCCCATCAGTTCGTCTGCTTCCCTCCCGCTCGCCGTCTTTTCTCTGGTAAGAGGGAGAGAGGAGACATGCATGCTCATGTTGTTGCACGTGTAGGACGCGGCACAAGAAAAAAATGAGGGCGGGTGTGTTGGTTGTTGTTGTTGTTGTTGATGGTTGGTGCGCTAACAACATCAACAGCGTTTTTCAATGGCCACCATGATAACCCTTCATACTGCTGTAATATGCAACACCCTTTCACGGCATCATTCAGTTGGTTTCTGGCCTCTTTCCGTGTATGGTCGTGGGCCGATTAGCGTCGGGGGTGCCAACTAATCTGCTGCCAACAAAGCACGAGACACGGCGGTCTTTACATTACATCATGACCACAGAGAAAGAAAGATGGCCAAAAAATAATATGCACACACACGCACACACATCCGATATCGCCGCAGTAATTTCCGCGCCTCCCCCTGACCTGCTCCGGTGACTGCCCTATCCTCGCATCACAGGCCTGCTTGGCGAAGAAGTACAAGTTGGGAACAAGTACTCTTACCATGGTGTATGCACAGCCGTTTCGATTTGCCCAAAGGCTACGGCCAATCCTTCCCAGGAGCTACTCCGAGGTACAGAGCTCTTTTCTTCTGGTGGTGTTTATGGCCACCCAGGGGCTTTCCCCCCCGGCCCGTGGACTTAAATTAACTACTGTTGTTGTAGTCTACAGCACAAGCATTCAGATCAGCAAGTACGTGGTCTACGCGGCCCGAGTTACAGTAGTAGCGTACAGTAGTAGTAGTAGTTGTTGACACCGCGCTGCTGCTAGTTTCTGTGTCTGTTTGCTCTTTCCGAACTACGGCCAGTTACCAATCCGAGGGAAGAAGTGCAGCCTGCCAAATGATGACGATGCTGGCGAAAATAATATCGTGGAATCCAGCTGATGATGCATCACCGACAGATGTATTGCTGCACATCGCATACTACACTACTGCCGTCCTTTTGTTTTTTTGCTGCGCAAATAAGGAGGAGCCGTCTACGGGGAACTTGGGGCCACCGCCGCCGTGTTTGGAGGATGTCATTAGCGGGGCTGCATCGAAGCAACCGTTTAACTTGGCGAGTTTCATGATCTTTGCGGAGCGGAACTTGTTCTCTGAAGCGGTGATGTTCCTGACAGAGGTGCGTGTCTGCAACAAGGGGGATGGGTGATGCGGATGGAATGTGTTGCTGCACATCACGCTCTTTCAATAAAGGAGGAAAGAATCACCGTGGACGATGGTTTGACGTGGCGAACGAGTGCCGAGACCCCCGTGGCAGGTCCTGCTTCACCCCCGCATGCCTCCCCCATTTTGCTTCCGGGGAATATTGTCCAAAACTGCTGTCACAGTCTTTATAGACTATAATACAAGTGTTTTTGCTCAATTTTTCTCGACAACGGGAACATCACCACCGCATCATCTATGGATGGGGTGGATTTCTCCACAGAATAAAGTGTATCCTCTCGTTTTATCCTTTTTTGTATGCATACAATGTAGAGCACACTCTTAAAAGATCTACACAGCATACGTCGAAAGTAAACACACTTACTTCGGCTTCACGGTCGACGAGAGAAAGGGATGGCTGAACCCTTCTCGCGATAAAAACAAAGGCATGCACAGGGGGGAAAATAAATGTGGGGCGGCAACAAAACTTCCATGACGCTCGGTGACAGGGTCTCGGATTGTGGCCTTGAGCATTTTGTGTTTCAACCGCACTTAGACTGACGTATTGTCATTGGTCAGCCGGTTAGCGCGGTCGATGCTTACAAGAAAGACACACACATAGACTGCTCTATCTTATTTCAGAAGTCTACGTTTCATAGACAAATAGACTACTAACGGTCCCTCGCAATATGCACAAGATGATACTAGCTGGTGGCTAGTTTTGGACGTTTAACCACAGGGGGGCCTCTGGCTGCATGTTGCCCGAGGGTTGGTACAGAAAGGCGGGTAGTTCACGATCATATTATATATATATAATCGTCTCCTAAAAAACGAAAATTGCTTATTTACTTGAGATTGTATAGATTAATTAAATTGGCCAGAGCAGTGGCACGTGTGAGAGGACTCGTAGAAGAACTGTTCCTCCGTACACGATTTCGCTCATACAGAAGCCGGGCTGCACTGACTGACACCTGGCACCAAGGCTTAAATTGCTTATTTACTTGAGATTATATGTATTAATAAAATTTGCCAGAGCAGTGGCACGTGTGAGAGGATTCGTAGAAGAACTGTTCCTCCGTACACGATTTCGCTCATCATACAGAAGCCGGGCTGCGCTGACTGACACCTGGCACCAAGGCTATTCGTTGTTTTTTTGCTGTTGAGAAAGGAGTTTTTCACCATAAGTTGTATCGATGTGTGGGCCGCGTGTGTGTGTGATAAGGGAAAGACTTCTGTCCGTGAGCTTACCCGCTTTGAGGTCAATTACCCCAACGAGCGTCGACGGCAAGCCGCTTGCGTCCGAAATAATTGATCCTGCCTCCATATATGTATATATATATATATATGTACTCCCCAAACCCAAAAACAATTAATTAAATCAATCACCCCTATTATCACTTCTATCACGACATACATGTCGGATATTTTCAGTCTGGCCACCCGTGTCAATACATTGTAGATGCCGTGGAATGCACACGCGTTTCCCCGCACACCTCGCACCAAGCAAGGCTGTCCGTTGTTTTTTTGCGATCGTTGTTTTTTCTTACGTACTCCCCAAACCCAAAAACAATTTATTAAGTCAAACTCCCCCATAGGGAAGAGAGTGCTGAACTCTTCTCGCATTAGAAATTGAAGGCGAAGTACCGCAGGAGGGGAGGGTAGAGAGAGGCTCTTCTGTGTGACCACGGGTTGGAATAAACGGCACTAGTGCTGTGAGCGCTGATTTGAAGTGAAGAACAAAAAATATATATATATAAATATCTATTGTCACCGCAAATCCGTCGTATCCTGGAAAGAAAATGATCGGAATGCACGTTCCGACGTATCTATCCACGGCCGCCTTCCGTGCACTCTTCGCTGCAGCGCCGGGCCTTCCTGAAGAGTGCCACGGCCGGGGAGCTCCCCCATCTTACTTTACGCCCGCTATATATATACACATCGATGTGTTGCTTCCAAATTTTCAAGTTTCCAACTTGCTACTTCACAGATTTTCAAATTGGAACCAACGTGAAAAATCTAGGTTTAATGGTCTACGGATTTAAATAATTTTGGAATTTGGAAGGAAAGCAGCTGCTGTATGAAAGTGCCCTATCCATCGTTGGGTCGGGAAGTTGGAAGGCATGCATCACTTGAAGCTGGGCCGGGTTGAATGTTTAGGTCAACAATCGGGCAAGTGACACACGCCACGAAAGAAATTGCGCGCAATACGAGATGTTAAATTCGACCTTCGTCGGCATGTTTCTGCGTGCGACACGCGCCTTGCTGCTC